CAGCAGGTTATAGAAAAATTTTAGTAGTTACTCAAAAGTTCAGCACAGAGCTAACCATATAATCCCCAAATTCCTTTCCTACATGTTATACCCAAGAGAATGGGGGCATGACATGTTCATACAAAAATCTGTATGTGCATGTTCATAGCACCTTTGTTTATAATAGCCAAAAGGTGGGAACAATTCAAATGTCCATGTAAATCAGTAAACAAACTGTGTGCTCTACAATGAAATATTATCCATCCATAAAAAGAAATGAAGTAGGGATACATGCTTTAACATGAGGAATCTTAAAAATACTATGTCTGGTGAAAGAACCCAAAATTTTTAAAATTCATATAGGACAAAATTTCATTTATATGAAATGTCTGGAATAGGCAAGTCAACAGAGAGAGGAAATAGAGCAGTTGTTGATTGGAGGTAGCAGTGAGGGAGATGATGAAAATATTCTATAATTAGATAGTGATAATGATCATACAACCTTGTGACTGCATTAAAAAAATCCCTGATACATATACATTAAAAAACATTCTATTTATTACTTTTATTTTATGTGTATGAGTGTATTGCCTGCATGTATGTGAGTGCACCCATGTTGTGCAATGCCACGGAGGTCAGAAAAGGGCTTTGGATTCCCCTGAAACTGGAGTTAAGGATGGTTCATAGCCGCCATGTGGGTGCTGAGAATTGAACCTGGGTCCTCTGCAAGGGCAGTCAGTGCTCTTAACCGCTGAGCCATCTCTCCAGCCCCTGAACTATATATTATTTTTTTTCTTTGATTCTCTTGGAGTTTTTTTTTTAAATATTATTTTTTTATTATTTTGGAAAAAGCATATCATTACAGCTTTAACATACTCAATAACAGTTTCCAGAGCAAAGATACATCTCTTTCAAAAGTGGCTGTAAAATTATTATGTTCGCTGTTGAATTAATAGTTAATTCAAAACAAAGACCTCTAGATAGGCTGACTAGATTCACTAGATGAACTATATATTTTTAAATGAATAATTTTACAGCATGTGAATTATTCTCAGAATATGAAAAGGGAAATTTTGTGAGCCTACAAATCCAGAAGTTACTGTGCACTTGAGGAAACTACTATTTAATAGGTTAAAGCAGAAGTTAACTCTCACACAGTGTCAAACATTTCCCAAGGAAATCATTTCTGCTACAGTATATTCATGCATTCGTTCAATAGATAACCATGAGCACGTGTTATAAACAAGAATCAGGGCAGCTTCTGCTTAAACTTACCTGATGTTGCTTGAAGGCCTCAAGAAGTAAATCAATGTCAGTAAAGGTGAGAGGAAATTGCAGCCGAGGACCATCATAGGAGTCAGGGACATCTATCAACCCCATATATTCCTGTCTATCCTTGCTATCCCACAATGTGTTTTCAAAAATTCGAGTTACTATTGCTGAAAAGGGAAAGAGAAAGAGGCACAGTATGGGAATCAACATTCCAATACTTAAAATATCTTCATGAATACCTATCTAACGTATGATACTGTGCTAAATGTTATAAATACCGAGCTGCAACACATATAACCATGAAGAATAATTGATTCTGAGGCCAATAATCACTATCATCCCTTCCTGGAATCCTGTTTTGCCAAAGCAGTGAGTCATAAACAATGGGGAGGAGACCAGAAGCATAGTAAAAACAAGTCAGCCAAGGTATTTTGATGTTCTGAAGTTTAAGCTCTAATTTTTTGCCCACTCTTACATATCACATTTTTTTGGTCTTTTTGAGACAGGGTCTCCCTGTAGCCCCAGCTGTTCTGGAACTCACTATGTAGACCAGGCTGACCTTGAACTCACAGAGATACACCTGCCTCTGCCTCCCTCTACCTGCCTCTGCCTCTGCTAGGATTAAAGGCATGCACCACCATGCCCGGCAATTTTTTTTTTTTTTTTACAAGCAAGACTAATGCATTGTATTTGATTCAAACATCTGCTGCTATTTAGGATCTACAGAAAATTCAACTGCAACATTCGATTTTTCCCTTAAACAGTTCGCAGTACTTTATTTAGCTTTAATTGATTTGTTTCTCTTTGCGTAAGATGTTTCTAATGTGATTTTCTTTCTTTTTTTTCCCCCTTGGGAACAAAGCAGAAAAACTTAAATGACAAACCATAGGCAGAAATACCCAAAGGCCTTTCTCTCTCAGGCATTTCTGTATAGTAACAGGCTGCCTACAATGCCCATTTTAGTAGGTGCTGAGACGCATGGTCATTTCTTGCCAAATTGCCACGAAACAGTCCCAAACCAGAAATCCAGACAATTCAAGCAGAGAAAGATGAAAGAAGGATGTGGTTGCAAAATGGCCTCAATATTCTATCCCAGCCTCCATTTGTGCTTTTTAGAATGTGATTTTACAGCTATTTTCATCAACAGTCTACTTTCCCATCCTTTCAAGTTACACTGGGCTCATAACTTGTACTGTCCCGAAGAATGTGGTCCAAGTGATACCTATGAGCTTCAAGTTCAGGTCCCAAGAAGCCTTATACATTCCATGCTCTTTGTTTTGGAGCCCTGCCACTTCTACTAAGTCCAGGCTAGCCTACTAAAAGGCTAAGACCATGTGGAACAGAGCTGAATCATCCTGAGGATGTCCTAGATCCGCTAACAGCCAGCACACCCACAGACACATAAGTGAACTCCAGCCAAGACCCCAAACACGGCCAGAGCAGGTCTGTCAAGACCAGCAGAAGTGCTCAGCTAATTTGTAGACTTGCTAGGGAATCTTGTCTATTATATGTCACTAAGATATTATGACTAATTCACAGTATTATTGCAGTAAGAGATAACTGACCCAGAGGATGACACGCTCAACTCATTAACACTAATGTTATAAATGCCATCTTCAGAAGTTCTCTGCAGTTTCTATCTTTACAAGTACTTAAAGTGATCACCTATACAAGATACGATGTTAGCATATATAGACAGAATATATTTTTTCATTATCAATTATGATGGAAGATTACTAAATTTAAGAACTAAGCTAGAGCTGGGGGTGGTGGCATACACCTTTAATCCTGGCACTCTGGAGGTAAAGGCAGGCAGATCTCTGTGAGATCAAGGCCAGCCTAGTCTACAAATTGAGTTCCAGGCCAGCTGGGGCTGTAGGGAGACCCCGCCTCAAAAAAGACAAACAAACAAACACCACAAAAAAACTAATTTTGATGGGCTCGCTGGAATGATAGCTCAGTGGTTAAGAGCACATACTGCTCTTGCAAGGACCTGAGTTCAGGTCCCAGCACCCATATGGTGGGCTCACAACTGCATGCAAGTCCAGTTCCAGTGGCTCAGATGCCCTCTTCTGGACTGTGAGAATACCTGTACTCACACATGCACATTCACACATGCACATCCACAAAATGAAATAAATCTTAAAAAATAACTAAACTGCTGGGCATGGTAGCACATGCCTTTAATCCTAACATTCAGGAGGCAGAAGCAGGCAGATCTCTCTACATAGTGAGTTCCAGGCCAGCTGGGGCTACAGGGAGACCCTGTCTCAAAAAGACCAAAACAAAACAACAACAACAAAAAGAACTAAACTTGCAGCTGGAAAGATAGCTTAGCAGTTAAGAGCACTGGCAGACGACTCAAGTTCAATTCTCAGCACCCACATGAGGGCTAACAACTATCCGTAGCTCTAATCTCCAACTCCAAGGGGTCTGACACCCTCTTCTGACCTCCACTGGCATTGAATGACATGGATGCACTTACATCATGCAGGCAATACTCTCATACACATAAAATAAAATTTTTTTAAAAAGAACTAAATTGTAAAATTGCTCTAACCTAGGAAATAATATTTAATTGCATATTTTCCAAAAATCCTGTGCACCCCAAAATATTTTAGCAATCAGTGATGTTTTATGAAAAGTGGAATTTAAGATTAATAATATCTATATTCAATGTGGACCAGTAGAGGTTATTTTTCTCCTTTGGTTTCAGTTTGAGATTTAAAAATAACTTAATTATTTTATGTCAGAAACCAGAAATGCAGAGCATCTTGATAAACTTTATTTCTGATTCATTATGTAGGCAATGAAGCCTAAATATTTTACTTAGCTATCTTAATGATCATTCTACCCATTTCATTTGAGAAGCATTCTTGGAGATGAATTTTGCTGCAATGGAAAACTTTCTTTGTCCTGACTTGATATACTGAAATATCAAGCAACTCCTAGAAAAAAACAACCTCAAACAACTCACACCCACAAAAAGGCCCCAAGATTATGTCAATGCTGTTGTAATGAAATGCTTCTTCTAAGTATGTGGTTATTAAATAAATATTTTTTTAAAAGCCCCCAAGAATTCCCAGCATTTTCACTGCATCATCGAATAGAGTTGAAAAGATTTTCTTTTATAGACTCTAAGAAGTAAAGTGAATATGGAGCACATGTGGTCACAACTAAGGGATCTTGTTTTTTAGATGTAGGTATTTATGATCTGACTGTAGTATTCATGGAAGAGGCAGTATAACTTTTGAAACATGCCTGACTTTAAAACACAGATGCTTGTGAGAAAGAGGAAAAGCAGTTGAATATACAGATTTGCATATGCCAACGCATATGGAGAACCCCCTCTCACCAGCCCCTTTCCAAATCTTCAAAGGCTTAACAACCTTGGGAGTCACTTTCTGTTGCCTATGCCTTCAGTACGCTCTACTCTTCAGGCTCTGTAACACAATAAAACATGGCTGAAGACTACCCCTGGATCTCATATCTACCCACACTGATATTTCTTTTAAAAAAATATTTTATTTATTATTTTTTAACAAAGCATAGGGTAGGGGTTTATTTACAGAAGAGTGGGTGCCCTACTTGTGACTTGATCATACAACCTTGTGACTGCATTAAAAAATCCTTCAGTAAAACTACTCAATATGAAATATGAATCAAATCAAATCATTAACCTTCTGCTGGTTTTTAGCAACATAAAAATTATCTGTGGGGTCTCTCCCTTCCCTTGTGGGTCGTTGGCCACCAGTCCATGAGGACAAAGGGAGCAGAAGCGACGAACGGGGTCAGGACGGCCAGTGAGCACTGACGGAAGAAAGCCCTTCCGGGGAGGCAGGTTCAGCGATACAAACAGCTCCAGACTCAGTGAAACAGCTCCGTTTATTCAGTGGGGATTAGGGAAAATAATAGTGTGGGGGCAGTAGCCAAATCAGCTTATAGGTGCTCATAGTATGCTTTATTTACATGTGGCAGTAGGCTCCTATCATCTACTATCCGGCAATGCCTAATTCTCATATAGAAAAAACCTGGGGGTAGTTTTTACTCCAGGTAACTATGCCAAAGGTCATGTTTTAAATGAGGCCAAGCATCCGTGCTTGGTGGCACTTTCCAGGTAAGTCAGGCAGGAAGCTCCTGCTGAGAAAGGAGCCAACCTTAACAGCAGTGTTCTGCAACACTTTAAAAAAATATTTTATTTATTATTTTTAACAAAGCATAGGGTAGGGGTTTATTTACAGAAGAGTGGGTGCCCCACCTGTGACTTGATCATACAACCTTGTGACTGCATTAAAAAAAATCCTTCAGTAAAACTACTGAATATGAAATACAAATCAAATCAAATCATTAACCTTCTGCTGGTTTTTAGCAACATAAAAATTAGTAACAAAAATTCTCTTCCAATAGCTAATGTGTGTCATAAATGAAAATGAAGCTTTAACATTTCTAATGGATATACTGTCCTTGTAGGTTATAACAACTAATAATAATGTAATAAATATGAACAATATATAAAGATTTGTGCAACGTGCAGTTAGTTAACCCTTAGTTATTTGATTTATAGCTTTGTCAATATGAATTTAAACTAATTAAATATATTAAAATATTAACATAACCAAATCATACCTCTACAACTTGTTCTAAGAGAATAACTTTTAAAAACACCCCTATGCCTAATCTTTTCTTTCACCCAGACTCTAAATCTAGACAGATAAAAACTTAAATCCCATAATTTTTTCCAAAACATAGTATCTGCTTATACCACCCACATGTCACTTTGAAAACAAGCTCTATCTATTGTTTATAAATTATAAAATAATTTATAATTATTTTACTTTCAAGTTATGAATCTGAGTTGAAATCATTGGTGTCCACACAATAAATTCAATAGACACCAACAAAACATTTCATAAAATTCAACCAATACTTGATTTAAAAAAACAGAAAATATGGAACAGAAGGATACTTCCTTAACATAAGTTTTAAAAATAAATACGCAATAATGGTTGCCTTTAAATCTTCAGCAAACAAGGATGTCTGTTTTTGCTGTTTCTCTGTAATATAGTTCTGCTATCTCTAGCACAAAACTTAAAAATATAAGTATATATATGCACATATTCCCCAAAGAGCATACATGTAAAATATGTGGTCTGAGAGACATTTGGGCTGATCTGGGTGGTAGAAGAAAATTATAAACAACACTTGCCTCTTACTCCCTGAAGTTACTGTTTAAACCTATGGCAGTTTTTTCTCCCCCGCCCCCCGCCCAAGAAAGAGGCTGCTGTGAAATGCAGCCTAGAAACTTTTACATAGACTCTCTACTCTCCATTAAGTCCTATGAACCTGTTTTAGCTCTGAAAGTAGCAGAACAGGGATATAACTGTCATAACTAATTTTTACAAAAGAGGTAGTGAGATTGTAAGCACAAGTTCTGCTTCAGGACCCCTCTCACCTTCGGAGCCTAGGATGACTTGAGATAACTCTGCTCTTCATCATTAACTTGGTCTCGATATATTGGAATCTTAAATAACTTTCTGGCCATCAAAAGTACCTTGCTTAGAGACTGCAGCACTTCAGGTAAGCAGGCCTAGGTGGAGGTTGTCTGGAATCCTGCCACTAAAGAAGGTGTTAGAAATCAACCTACAAAGCCCATGCATGGCAGCAGATGCCTATATTTCCAGTGCTCAAGATGCTGAGTCATAAGGATTATGAGCCCAGGACCAGCCTGGGCTACACAGCAAGTTCAAAGTTAGCCTATATATATAGAAACCCTGTCTCTGGAGATGAAAAAGAGGAGAGAGGAGAGGTAGAGAGGAGAGGAGAAAGAGAGAGTAGGAGGGAGGAGGGAGGAAGGAAGAAGGGGAAAGGAGAATGCATATTCACCAAAAGGAATGTGCCCATGAATTCACTGAGCACCATGAGTTAAACTGTCAAAGTGAAAACACTTCAAGTGTCCATAAACAATAGACTGCATAAATTATAGTATATTCGTAAAATGGAATGCTATTCAACAATAAGAATAACTAAATTACAGTAACATGAATGAGCTCACTGATACAAGGTCGAGCAAAAGATGCTAGATTCAGGAGTATATTGCTGTATGCTTCTGTTTATGCACATAAGTTCCAAAACAAACAAAACTAATGTTATAGAAGTTCAAAAAATAATTCCATGGTAGAATGGGGGTTCAGTTGTAATAAGAAGGGTAGGAGTGGGAGCATCTATGGTTTGGGGGGGAAGGTATTTGGTTTTGAAGATAGGGTCTCATATATACCAGGCTGGTCTACAACTCTCTATGTAGCAAGTATGACCTTGAATTTCTGATTCTTCTACCTCTACTTCGAATGTTGGGATTATAAGCATTCATCACCATGCTCAGTTTATATAGTGCCCAGGGTCCCCTGCATGCTAGGCTAACACTCTACTAGGTGAGCTACATCCCTACTCATGTTTTATTTCTTGTTCTGACTGCCTGGTTCCTGGGTGTGTTTCTATAGAGAAAATGAGTTATATATAATTTGCATACTTTCCTGTCATGTACGTTATACTTCAGGAAAAAACATTGTTACCTTCTTTGATAAGAAACATTTTGTTATATTTTAAAATAATCTGCAAAGTGTTTTCAAAATGTAGATTTTGAGAACTGGAGTCTGAGTAAATATCTCTGAGTGGGAATCCAGCTATCTGTGGCTTGGAAACTCCATAAGTGACTCTGATGAATGAGGCTAGATTGAATTAGTAAGTCATTTTCAGAAAGAGTCCTGTTTTATTTCATCATTACTGTATTTCTTTCCCAAAACAAATTGCAGTTGCCAAAAATAAAGAAAATGGCAAAGTATCCACTCACACCCAGTTCCCATTCACCAGGTTCAGCTAGTTCACCATTCAGAAAGCTGCTGTGGCTCATGAAACACTTTGATTAGTTTTATGCACATACACCTTAGCTCAAACCATGCCAGTAAAATACCACTCATTTTGAGCCAGGGGCTCCTCCCAAGCCCATGTGACCCCTGAGGAACAGATCCTCCAACAACCTGAAAAATAAAAATAAATTGGTTTATTTGGGCCAACTCTATGGTCTTAAACACCCAAAAGGAAAGTATAACCAAAGATTAAAGTGATCAGTATATTTCTTTAGGAGTTTTTTTGATTTTGTTTCTAAGCAGAAAGTGCTGCTCAGATGTAAGACTTCAAATCTTAGTCTGCAATACTGTAGTGCCCACCTGTAGCTAAGGGAGACAATCAGCTATTGTTCTAAAATGATGGATAAATTTCTTTTCTTGAGAGTGATGGACACAGGATTTGTTTTTCAGGCATTTTGATAGCTGTTGGAGTAGCTAGAATCAGTGTCAGTTCCCTCTCAAAGGCTTCTAGATAGGGAGAGAAAAGAAATTTATCCAAGAAATCCCAATGGACTCTAATATGAACATTTGAAATTTGCCCTGTTCTGACTTTTTTCTAGTTCCCTGTCTAGAACTTGCAATGCTAACTACTCTTGCCTTTACTTCTTCTCCTTCACATCCCCTATTCACCAGTTGAAGACTTTTTTTCTCTCTATAGATAAGAGTTATGAAATCTGGGAGCCTTTTAGACCCACTGAAGGGGTACCCCAGTTGTCTCACCCTGAGTCCCTGGTTCAGCATGGAAGAAGCTAGAGCGGTCTGCATCCCGATTACCTATCAGCAATTTGGCTAACCTCTTCAGAGGATGGTGTGATAAGAATAGGATGTAGGAATTGGCTAGGTGGTTAGGGTAAAAAGGACCTCAAAGAAAGTAGCCAGTCTCTTGGATAAAAGTCAAAATGTCAAAATGCAACATGCTATGTTCCAAAGGCCAAAATTGTCAAAAGTATTTGGGAGTTCTTATCTAATCCCTAAAAGGATCTTCAGAGGGGGGAATGTTAGAGTAGCAAAAAGCCCCATTAAGAAAGAAAGAAAGAAAGAAAGAAAGAAAGAAAGAAAGAAAGAAAGAAAGAAAGAAAGAAAGAAAGAAAGAGAGAGAGAGAGAAAGAAAGAAAGAGAAGTAGTCAGAAAAAAAACGATGGGGAGATATGGGAGGTGCTGGAGGGGAGGGAGTGACATGGATTTGATCAAAACACCTTATATGCATGTATGAAATTCTCAATAAAGTTTTTTTAAGTTAAAAAAAACCACTCCTTTCACCACTTTAAGAGTATTTATGGGCCAGTGAGATGGCTCAGTGGGTAAAAGTGCCTTCAACCAAGGCTGAAGATCTGAGTTCAATTCCCAGAACTCACAAGATGGAAGGAGAAACAAAACTCCTGTAAATAAGTGTTGACATGAACCTCAGCACACAATCATGCATGTCATGCATGCACACACACACACACACAAATCACAATAACAAATATAATAAAAATTTTAAAAGAGTATTGACTAGATTACTTAAAGACGCTATAGAGGGTTGAGGAGCTGGCTCAGTGGATAAGGGCACTTGCTGTGCAAGCATGAGGACCCGAGTTTAGGTCCTAAGCACCTACATAAAAAGCCAGGTATGGCTGCACCTGCCTGTGACACCACTGCTGGTGAGGGGCAAAGACAGGAGGCTTGTTGGGACTTGCTGGCCACGCAGCTTAGCTGAAAAATGGTGAACTCCATGTTCAGTGAGAGACCCTGTCTCAAGGAATAATGTGGAGAATGATAGTGCAGGACATGTGAAATCCTCCTCTAGCCTCTGCACACACACACACACACACACACACACACACACACAGTTGCTCCTAAATATTTTTAGGTCTGGAATCTACTTTGGAGATAATAGGCAAACGTTAATTTGCATGAGAAATACATGCCTTATAAATAATTACAATTTAAAAACCATAGTTGAACCATTCTTACATAATTACATAGATGATAGACAAATCAATGATATAGATAGGCAGATTATAGGTAGGTAGTGTCATACTCCAGTTTAAGCTATTATAACATGCTGGATAATTTATAGCACACAGAAGTTTATGGATGGTTCTAGTTATTTTCCAATCTTTTTAGATTCTGGTCCAGAAAAAAAAAAGAAAATAAAAATCACCCACTGTCTCCACCAAAAAAAAAGTCTGCCAAAGGATTCTAGAGTCCAGAAAGTCCAGATCAAGGGGAAATGTCTGGTGAGGAAGTTCTTGCTATAAGTTGTAACATGACTGAAAATATCATATGATGATGGTTAGAACCCTACTTCATGAGGACACCACTCCCAAAATAATTAATCCATTTATGAGGGTAGGGTCTCTTATAACCTAAACACCTCTTAAAGGCTCCACCTTTCAACACTGTTGAATGAACTTTGGGGAAATATTCAAACCATAGTAGATAGACATACAGACAGACAGGAGGGAAAGGGAAAGAAGAGATTTAATCTACCAATTTCACATAGACCTACTGGCATGAAATACCTAAAATACTGAAAATTTATCAACATAAAAGTTTTGTGGGTAAAAAGTAAGATCCTCTTTATGAAGCTACTATTGTGCATCAGCAGGTTGTTGTCCAAGACAAAGCACTCAGCAAATGATTACTGAATGGAATCTAATTATTTAAGTGAAAAAATTAAGTGTCGATATAGCAAATAACACCTGGAAAGAACAGAAATAAGAAAGGCGGACATTTTTTAAATCTCAGATCATTTAACTTTTAATTTGCTTTTATTTTTTGACACAGGGCCTCACTATATAGTCCCAGCTGGCCTAGAACTGGCTATGTAAACCAGGCTCGTCTTGAACTCACAAAGATCTAAACACTACACTTTGGGATTGGAGCGATGGCTCAGTGGTTAAGAGTCCATACTGAAAAAAAAAAGTGCATACTGCACTTGCAGAAATCAGAGCTAGTTCACATTCAGCAGCTCCCAATTGCCTGCAACTCCATCTCCAAGGGATCTAACCTCCTCTTTCTGCCCTCTGTGGGCATGTGCACAAACCCACAGAGAGACAGACAGACAGACAGACAGACAGACAGACAGAAACACACACACACACACACACAGACACACACAATTTAAAAATTAAAATAAAATCTTAAAAAATTAAACTTTTGCTTACCCGAATCTTCCTTATGTGACTTTGTATAGTTTTCTAACATGAAGGAAAAGAAGTTGGACAGCTGAAAAAGATTTTTTTATAAAAAGATATAAACCAATTAATGAACACAAAACATCTACTGCAGCAAATATCAGAGTTCTATGCAAGTCCCTTATTCTTTTGGTGTACCCATCTTCCTGCTGCTACAAGTGCCAAGGGTCACACCTATCCCTGTCCTCACAAGTGGTCAGTGCCACACTGAGCTATGCAGGTTATTATATATACATGTCCCTCCTGGGAAGCTGCCCATACACAACTGACTGGAGCAAGAATGTACCAACCCAGCCCCACCTCCTTGCCATGAGTAGGACAAACTAGGATGCACTTCACACTTGAGTGCTTCTGATGGGTTCAGGCTAAAGCTAGACTTTTCCAGAAATCAGTTTTTCCTGGCTTCTTCACTTATCCTATCTTGCTCTCTTCACATCCATAAAGGTTTTTCCTGAGAATCCTGAGAATACTCCCCCATCTCAGTAAGTCACTTAGAACAGAATCCCTGTCTCTGACTTTGCTATAAAGAGTACACTCTGAGGCAACTATTTTATTCTCTCTCTCTCTGTCTCTCTCTCTGTCTCTCTCTGTCTCTCTCTCTCTGTCTCTCTCTCTCTCTCAACTAAATACTGCTTGAATGACAGTCGATGTTGTGAGCTCCTAATCAGGACAAAGGGACGTGTGATTGAATGTCCTGTATTATTTTAACAGCTGCCAAGAAGAGATCCACTAAAATTTAATCTTTATGAAATTTGTTTAATTATTTTTAAAGACCATAATCTGGAACTTAAATATGTTTGTTTAAAACTACCAACAAGGGACTGGAGAGATAGATCAGCAGTCAAGAGCACTGACTGCTCTAGCAGAAGACCAAAGTTCAGTTACTAGCACTCACATGGTGGCTAAAAACCACCCATAATTCCAGTTCCAGGGGCTCCAATGGCCTCTTCTGGCCTCTATGGTTATGGCATGTATGGGTGCACTTATACACACATGGCGAAACATTCACACACATAAAATAAAAATAAATATTTTTTTCTTTTTTCCACCTTTTTAAATTGAGATTTTTTAATTTCATACATTTCCCACTCAAATCCAGACCCCCTCCCCCACCCATGCCTCCCCTTATCCCCCCCACCAAAACCCTATGCACTCTGCTGTACATGCTGAGTCCTATTTGTTCAGCTGTTTGTACCCAAATGTCCTTCAGTGTAAATGCGTCCACTGGAGTCTAGTCAATCCATCCAGTGGTCATATGCAAGTCATATTCTCCCTCACCCAGCAGCAATCAGTCTCAAATAGTTCTTAATCTAATGCTATAAATAATACCAGAGGAAAATGAGAAGAGTCTCTTAGAAGTAACCTCTATACCCAGTTTGCTATATATCTTTTTCCAGAGTTTTTGTTATATGCTTAATTTTCTTTCATGTAGATAGGATAAATTCTATGTATTACTCTATGAGTTGATTTTTTCATTAATAACTATAGTGCAGATCTTTCTAAGATCATTTCATGGTTTAAAAAAATAATTTTTCATTTGGTAGGATAAAGCTGAGATCTCAGCAGACCACCAGACTGCCTGTTCCGGTGTCCCTCTGGCATAGGGGCTGAGAACTCAGGGGACCCACCTGAAAGCACCTAGATCCTGCCCCCACATGGTGTTCCCACTAGTAGGGTCCAAACCTGAGAAGGAAGCCTTGGGTCTACCTGACTGGAACCTGACTTGGGCTTCTGTAGGAGAGCCTGAGTAGCTGATCTGAAGCCATCAGTTCCCTCCAAAATAAAACCTGAGAGAACCTGAAACCTGGACCAACCAGCTTTACATAACCAATAAGAAAAGGACCAAGACACACAAGTAATACAAACAGAAGCAAACTTCTACTTAATTTTCATATCAGAATTGCAACAACAAAAGAAATTCACATGCCAAAATCACAACGAAAGAATAATAAAATGGAAAGCCAATACTATATCCCCACCAAACTCTGCCAGTCCTGGAGAAGAGTTCTACAAGGAGAACCCCCTAGAGATAACCCAAGATACAGAATTTAAAAGAACAATCATAAACATGATTAAGGAATTCAATGAATTTAAAGAACACACAAAAAAATCAAAGAACTAAAAGAAGACAGGGATAAACTTCTAAATGAATTCACAAAAGAGAAACATTGAAGAAAAATCAGGCAGAAATGAAGAAAGAAGTGAAAAATTTAATAAGTCAACTTGAAACAATGGGAAAGCCTCACCACTAGAATGAATGAAATATAAAAAAGAAAATGAACACTGGAGGATAAAGTTGAATAATTGGACCACTCAAGCAAAGATTATGGAAAAAATTTTAAAAACACAGGAATGGAATATGCAAGAGATGTGGGACACCATGAAAAGACCAAATCTAGGTATCATAGGAATAGAAGAAGGAGAAGAATTTCAGGTTAATGGTATTGTCCCGATTTTAAAAAGGATTGTAGAAGAGAATTTCCCAAAATTAAAGAAACATATCCCCATACAAATACAAGAAGCACTTAGAACACCAAATAGACAGGATCAGAAAAGAAACTCCCCATGACATATAGTAAAAACACTAAAAGTCCAGAACAAAGAGAGAATACTGAAAGCAGCAAAAGAAAAACAAGTCACATATAAAGGAAAGCCCATCAGAATTACAGCTGACTTATCAACACAAACTATGAAAGCCAGAAGAGCCTGGACCAAGGTATTTCCAGTTTTAAACAATAATAGATTACAGCCCAGAATACTCTACCAAGCAAAAATGTCTACTACAATTGAGGGGGAAAGAAAAATCTTCCAAGACACAAATATCCTTAAAGAATACATGTCCATGAAACCAGTCCTTCAAAGAATATTTGAAGCAATACAGAGAGCAGAGAGAGAAAGAACTATACCCCAGGGGCAATGAAAGAATATAAATAAAGGTATAAATGAGTAAACACAAAATTAGACAAAGAATGCAAACACCAATCAAAATGATGGCAACCAATACACACCTTTCAATAATAACCTTAAATATCAATGGACTGAACTCCCCAGTCAAAAGACACAGACTAAGTGAATGGATTAAGAAACAAAATCCATCTCTTTACTGTCTGCAAGAAACCCATCTCACCTTCAAGGACAAGCACTACCTTACGGTAAAAGGATGGAAAAGAATATTCCAATCAAATGGCACAAGCAGGGGTTGCAATTCCAATATCTGACAAAATAGACTTCAAAGTAACACTAATCAGAAGAGATAAGGAGGGTCACTTCATTCTGATCAAAGGAACAATTAACCAAGAAGATATTATAACCGTTAACATATATGCATCAAACTCTGGTGCACACAAATTCATAAAAACAACACTACAGGACTTTAAGACACAGATTAACCCCAACTCAGTAATAGTAGGAGACTTCAAAACCCCACTGTCTCCATTAGATAGGTCAATGGGACAAAAAATAAACAGAGAGATGTCTGAATTAAATGATACCATACATCAAATGGAACTAACAGACATCTTTTGAATATTCCACCCCACGGACCTTTTTCAAAAATTGACCATGTACTGGGGCACAAAGCAAAGCTCAACAAACACAAGAATGCTGAAATATTGAAAAAATATTGAAATATTGAAAAATATTAAAATATTGAAAAATATTGAAATATTGAAAAATATTGAGTGGGTCAAAGGAGAAATTAAGAAAGAAATGAAAGAAATCTTGGAATTCAATGAAATGACAATACAACACAACAAAACCTCTGGGATACTTTAAAAGCAGTTATAAGAGGGAAGTTTACAGCGCTGTGCCTACATTAAAAAATTAGAAAGACCCCAAATAAATGACCTAACTTTGCAACTCAAGATGCTGGTAAGGCAAGAACAAATGAAACCCAAACCCAGCAGAAGACAAGAAATAACAAAAATCAAAGCAGAAATCAATAAAATAGAAACAAAGAAAACAATACAAAGAATCAATGAATCTAAGAGCTGGTTGTTTGAAAACTAAACAAGATAGACAGATTTGTAGCCCAGTTAACCAAAAGAAAGAGCAAATCCAATCAACAAAATCAGAGTTTCATGAAAGGGGAAACATCACAACAGACACCCAAAAGATTCAGACCATTATAAGGGAATATTTAAAAAACCTATATGCCAGTAAATTTGAAAATCTAAAGAAATGGATGGATATCTAAAATCATGGGAACCACCAAAGTTAAACCAAGAAGCAATCAACAGTTTAAACAAACCCATAATATATAAGGAAATCAAAACAGTAATACAAAGCCTCTGGACTAAAAAATCCCAGGCCCAGATGGATCACAGCAGAATTCTAACAGACATTTAAATATCTCCAACCAATACTACTTAAATTATTCAAAATGATAGAAACAGATGGAGAACTCCCAAATTCTTTCTATGAAGCTACCATCACTCTAATACCCAAAACAGGCACAACCAAAAAAGAAAACTATAGACACATATCCTTATAAACATAGATGCAAAAATTCTCAACAAAATACTTGCAAACTGCATACATCAAAAAAGATCATTCACCATGATCAAGTAGGCTTTATTCAAGAGATGCAATGATGGTTCAATATACGCAAGTCAATAAATGTCATTAATCATATAAATGGACTCAGAGACAAAAACCATATCATCATCTCAATAGATGTAGAAAATGCTTTTGACAAAATTCAACATGCATTCATGATAAAAGTTCTAAAGGAAATTGGAATGATGTGAATATATCTCAACATAATTAAAGCTATGTACTATAGCCCACAGGGAACATCATTCTAAATGGAGAAAAATTGGAAGCATTCCCATTAAAATCGGGAACCAGACAAAGATGTCCACTATCTCCATTCCCTTTCAGCATAGTGCTTGAACTCTTGCTAGAGCAATAAGACAGGAGAAGGAGTACTAATTGGAAAAGAAGAGGTCAAACTATCCTTTTTGTAGACAATATGATACTATACATAAGAGATCCTAAAAGTTTCACCAGAAAACTCCTAGAACTGATCAACACTTTCGGTATACTGGCAAATTATAAAATCAATCACAAAAATCAGTTGCCTTTCTATATACCAATAACAAGCAATTGGATAAAGAGTATAGGGAAATGCTCCCATTCACAATAACAGCAAAAAATTAAAACATCTTGGAATAAACCTGACCAAAGACACCAAAGATTTCTACAATGAAAAATTTTAATCGTTAAAGAGATTGAGGAAGACACCAGGAGATGGATGGAAGAATTAATATTATGAAAATGACCATCCTACCAAAAGCAATGTATAGATTCAGTACAATACCAATCAAATTCCCCATGACATACATCACAGAATTAGAAAAAACCATCCATAATTTTGTATGGAAGCACAAAAGACCCAGGATAGCCAAAGAAACCCTGAGCGCAAAGAGCAACACTGGGGGGGAATACTATACCAGATCTCAAAGTATACTACAGAGATATAGTCATAAAAAAGTGTGGTATTGGCACAAAAATAGACATATTGATCAGTGGAACATCATTGAAGACTCAAATCCGAGGTACATGCAATTTCATCCGCCTGATATTTGACAAAGGTGCCAAGAACACACAATGGAGGAAAGACAGCATCTTAACAAATGCTGTTGGCAAAACTGAATCTCCACCTGTAGAAGAATGAAACTAGATCCTTATCTTTCACCTTGCACAAAAGTCAAATCCAAATGGATCAAAAACCTTAATTTGAAACTGGAAACCCTGAAACTATTAGAAAAAAATATTGGCAGTAACTTACAAGATTATAGGTGTAGGAAAATATTTTCTAAATCAGACAGAAATTGCTCAAGAATTAAGGTCAGCAATCAACAAGTGGGACCTCATTAAACTAAAAAGCTTTTGTACAGCAAAATAAACAATCCAAAAAGTGAAGAGAAAACCCACAGAGTGGGAAAAAATATCTTCACCAGTGACACATCTGACAGAGGTTTAACACCCAGAATATAGAAAGAACTCAAAAAACAAAGAATCAAGAAGCCAAATGACCCAGTTAAAATATGGGCTAAAGAGCTAAACAGAGAGTTCTCAAAGGAAGAAATAAAGATGGCTAAGAAACATCTTAAAAAGTGTTCAACATCATTAGTAATCAGTAAAATGCAAATTAAAACCACCCTAAGGTTTCACCTTACCCCAACTGGCTAGGATCAAGAGAACAAATGATACCAAATGCTGGTGAGGATGTGGAGAAAGGGGAACGCTCATTCACTGCTGGTGGGATTGCAAACTCGTGAAACCCCTATGGAAAACAGTGTGAAGAACTCTTAAAAAAACTAAAGATGAACCACCATATGACCCAGTTATACAACTCCTTAGCATATTTCCAAAGGACTCACCCTATTGTAGAGACACTTGTACAACCATGTTTGTTGCTGCTCTTTTCACAATAGCTAAGAGATGGAAGCAACCTAAGTGCCCCTCAACTGACGAGTGGTTAACAAAAATGTGGCATATTTACACAATGGAGTTCTATTCAGCAGTGAAGAAAGATGAAATAATGAAATCTGCAGGTAAATGGATGGATCTAGAAACCATTATACTAAGTGAAGTAACACAGACTCAGAAAAACAAAAGATGTATGTTCTTCCTCATTTGTGGATCCTAGCACCAAATTCTTTTACATTCCATGTTCTTTTGATAGGATGCTGCTGTACAGCAGTGTCTTTGTGAAATAATTACCATCATCTCGACTTCAGCTGTGCCTGCTTGCTAAATATCATCACCATTGGGCTTGTTGATGGTTGTGCTCCTTTGTTAAAGGAGGGGCAAGCAGGGTCAGAGGACCCTCACCAGAGTATCCAGCCACTCTTCCCAGCCATGTAATTTGACCCTAATCACACATGGTCTCCTGGATTTGGGAAAAACTACTAAAGAATATAATCTGGGGAAGGCTAGGAAGCAAAGGCTTGATTCATGCTGGGTAAAGGCTTCCAGTGTGCAAAACCCCAGGTCATACATACACCTCAGCAACCCCTCAGTCATCTCTGTAAGAAAGCTCAGTAAATGCATTGGTTCCAGAAAAACTTTAATCAAACATTGGTTTGACACTAGAACCTTAAAATGGGATAAGCATTGCTTAGTATCCCCAGGAAAAGAATTCTCACAACAGATAGAAAATTTATTTGTTAATGTTCTTATGTCTCAAAATTATTTTAAAAAATTAAAACATGAAAGATGTTAAAAGGATATGCGAATAGAGATATTTTCCATATTAGACAGAAAAAATGAGAAAGCCTAAACAAGTGATGAGGGTCTGTGTAGGTTTGTTATGATATATAAAGGATGAGGCAAATATAATAGACACATAATCTTAAAATTTCAGTAACAAGAAGTAAAATGTTGAGAGAGAGAGAGAGAGAGAAACAAACCTGCATTTGGCTTTGCTCATCAGCATATTCAATGGACTGGAAGATGGCGAGGGCACCATGTTGTCTAGCCCTCAGTTGAGCTCTGTAATGTCGATACCAGTTTTGGATGACTAATGTGGCTTTCATTGCTGCAGACACACAGGATATGAAGGGCAGAGACAACAATTACAATACAGCTCTTAGGGAAGTAGGTACTTCAACAAAAACACCAATTAGCCCACCCAGATTCCTTGGTCCTAAGAATAGAAATACTATAAACAATGACATTGATTTTTATGCTTTTTATAAAATATCCTCAAGTCACAAACACTCAGAAAGTAATGATACCATAACCGTTAAGGGTAGGAGTTTTAGTATAATATTGCCTCAACTTGAATCCCAGCCCTGAAAATTTCTATATGTGTAACTTTGAGTTATTGAGACTCTCAAAACCTCAGTTTCTTCAACTGTAATAGGTTTACAGCCAGCACACACGTCTACCATGGCTAAAAATATTCTGTTCTCCACTATAAGCCCCAAAGTGACTTCCTCAGAGTTCATAAAGAAGACATATGGGTATGCAATTGCTTCCTTGTGGCAGTAGGGAGCTTCACACAAATGCAGCCTGTCTGTCTGTCACTAAGAAAGGGAGTGTGGACCTAGAGTGGGCACATACCATGGAGTATCACTATTGGAAGCCGTGTTTTAAATAAACCCATGGCAATATGGATATGTCTTAAAAACACAGTGCTCCCACTAGAACAGTTATTCTTTAAAAAATATAGACAGGATGAAATACAACACAGCACCATTTTACAACAATTAAAAGTATACACAACATGACAGGCATGGTGGTACATGCCTTTAGTTCCAACACTCAGGGGGCAGAGGCAGGTAGGTATCTGTGAGTTACAGGCCAGCCTAAGTTATATACTGAGACCCTGTCAAATAAAACAAAATTTCAAAAAGGGCTGGAGAGATGGCTCATCAGTGAAGAGCACTGGCTGTTCTTCCAGACCCAGGTTCAGTTCCCAGCACCCACATGGCAGGCTCACACACATCCTTAATTCTAGTTCCAGGGGATCCAATACTCTGTTCTGGCCTCTGTGGGCACTAGGCATGCATAGGCATGCATGTGGTACATTTATATAATTGTAGGCAAAACACTCATACACATAAAATAAAAAATTAAATCTTTTAAAAACAAGTCTATGTA